GTTCCGGCTGCAAAACAGTCGCGAAACTAGCAATACCATCACAATCCACTAAGGGAGGTTTTTGAGAAATGCAAGGAAGCTCAAAATCACTGGCACTGGATAGAAGAGAAGAGAACGCGATGGCGTATATGTGGATGCACGATCAATGAGGATTGCTAGAGTGAAATTGTGAGAATTAGTTCAGATAATTTAGAAGGGAGCATGAAGATAGATGCAGAAATTAACGAGGAAGTGCTGAATTGCAGCGCTGAACCACAATCTAACATATTTTTGATTATAATTACAAACCTGACTGAGTACCAAAACGTTGGATCAAAAATTGAGGGCAATTGAAAATGAGTTAAATTCGCCTCAAAATATCGAAGAAAAGGCATTCATGAAAAATCATTTTTTTTTTTCTTGTTTAATTCTTTCTTTTTCCTTCCTTTTTTCCCGTCAGAGTTTCTTTCCTTAATTTTCATTTCTGGGACACTTATAGAATTTGCGAATAAGGCGCTTACACAGAACAAATGACCCATGGTGCGTGCTCGCGGCTGATATGTTTCTAGTACATTTGCTTCATCGAAATAAGCTTTTCGAGCTCTGAAACGTGACTGTTCCATTGCTGCATCAACATCTCTTCTTTGCTTAGATTTACTGAAGTGTGGAGGAAGACCGAAAAAGAAATGCAGAATTTGGAAGCTATTTTTTAGAGCAGGAAGAAGCAGGGCGTGATGCTGAATTGGTTACCTGGTCAAAGCATTGGAATGTATGCCCATCCAGACGTAGCCGAAAAATGCAATAAATACAGTGATGGCTCCAGCAACCATTGACATACCCCCGCCGGCTAGGCACATCATCTGGCTTAGCTCACACATCGCGCCCATCGTTATCATTACCAGCAAGCCGACCAGTAATCGCATCCTGCACTATTCCAGTAAAAAGATCACAAACTGATTGAAAAGCAGCAAATTTTTGAGACTGTTACTGCTTTTCTTCTCACTGGTACTACTGTGAATAACCGTCTCACGCTCTGCCACACTGACGATTGACCAGAGTTCTATCAAGATATATCGCCACCACGGCTTATCAATACTGAGTGGTTCAGCTGCATTTAGAAAAGGTCTGGAAATGCCTAGATTATTTGTGATGGGAGGATCGGTACAGGGGAAGGGGGAAGAGGAAACGGAGGGAGGAACTCAAGTGATAGGCTGTTAAACATAGTATGAGACGAGCCAGATGCAGCTGCGAGCATTTGTGTTGGGGAATGAACTCGTAGAGCGAATAGCCCAGAAACAAATAAAGAGAAAGGCGGCCTGGATGAAGATTCTACAAGCTTAGTGTGGATATTGCTGATCGCTAACCTACAGGTATATCAGATTCGAAGTTGCGGCTACTTAATGTCT